CACACACACACACACACACACACACACACACACACACACACACACACTTCATCTGCTCTCCCTGTGAATGCCTGAAGAACAGCACAGTGATGTGAGTTGAACCTGTGTGGGGGGCTAATCTGAATCAGACAATGTGCGTCAGGAAACCAGAGTTAAACATGGGCTGGACATTGCCTGTAATTGCTATCTGATATGAAAAGGGGTGTGAAAATAAACTACTTGTAAATGGCCCCCTAAAAGACCCACTGTGACCTCTGCGCTCACTTACACATACGTACAACGCATGTACGTGTATTTAAGTGTGTTTCCCTTGGGTGCATGGAATGAGCAAGTAGGGTACAAAAAATAGAGTGTAGGCAATGGGCATGTAGAGTGAGCAGGAACAAGATTGGAACACAGTAAGATAAGGCTGGTGACAGGCCTTCTGCTCTTTGTTACACTGTGACACATAATGGAGTAAGTAAACTCTCACTGAGGTCGATGTTCATACACTTACAACTCTGTAGAAGTCCGAGAATAAATGCCACTCCTGGTTCTTACTGTGATCATTTTTATTTTTAACTCTCTTTTTTAGACTAGTTAAACTGGGGGGATTTAGATCTCTACCAATTGCATGGATAGCATCATAATGTTGTGCTAAAGTTGTCCTTCTCTCTCTCTCTGTCTCTCTCTAGTGGAAAGCTCATGATGGGGTTATCCTGAAGGTGGACTGGAATTCAGTCAATGACCTGATACTGTCAGGTGGAGAAGATTGTAAATATAAGGTGTGCACTGTTTGAGATTTACCTTAGGATGTCCTAAGGTGGTGTGCTGTTTTTCTAATAAAAAACATGTACTCATCCATTGACAGGTATGGGACTGCTTTGGCCGTCTGCTTTACTCCTCGTCAGTTCATGACTACCCGATCACCTCCCTGTCCTGGGCTCCAGATGGTGAGGTGTTTGCTGTGGGCTCCTTCAACACCCTGCGGCTCTGTGACAAGACAGGAGTAAGAAAAACTACTTTAACTCTACTTTATTTCCTAGTGGTTGAGTCCCTTCAGGGCTCTCTCAATAGAATGTGATGTTAGTCCATTGCTAAGATAGGATGTGAACAGTTAGCAGCTGTAGAAACTCAAAACTTTACATATTGGAGAAGTGGAAGTTACTGCTAAATGCAAGTGTTTGCAAAAAGACAAAAAAGAACAAATAGCAGGAGAAACCTAAGTAGATGAGTTAAGTTATTAAACTTTTGAAAAATTGTTCAGTGAGATTTTAAATAACTGACACCTCATGTCTAAAAAAAGGTTTTAATGGCTATGACTTAATATAAAAAGTGTTTTCAGCATTTTTAATCCCCTAGGCCATTTTCAGACATGACCTCCGTGTAAAATCTGGAGAAGTGGTTACCTGTAGTTTGCCTTTCACACATGCACAACACAGCGGGAGGTTTTCTGCACAGACGCGTTCACAACAGCAACAGGCAAGATTATCATTCAGGCAAGAGGTGGAGGCAGCAGACAGAGGCAGGAAGTGACATATCAACTTCGCTGCCGAGATGTCTTCTATGTGTGTCACCGTCTTTTCACCAGGAGATATCTGGTTTTTTTTGTTTTTTGTTTTCCATTATTGCGTCATCAACCCCCCCACTTGCTCGCAGTGAATCCAGCAGGGCATCGACTTCTCCTGGATTTCTCAACCATTATAATAGGAGGCCAGGCAGATAAAGTCTGCGGAGCGTCTCACTCAGACATTTGCGTTCACCGGAGAAAATATGGAGGATCTGCGGCGTCCAGTGCATATCTGAAAGCAGCTATAGAATAAGCACTTCAGCCTAAATACACCTAAGCACTGTACTTCTGACCTCAGCACTCCCAGGAACTCTGTTATAAGCATAACAGTTAATGTTTCTGACAATCTTTGGGCAGACTGTGCAGCTGTAGATATTGTAAGCGTTGTTTTGTTTACTCTCATATACCAATATAAAATGTATGCTTTGTGGTCATTCAAGTCCTTTTCCCTAAAACATACAGTATCTGTGGTTCACTTTCAGCTTTTCCAGTGCAGTATGGTTTACTGTATATCAGGGGTGGGGAACCTCTGAAATTTGATCCTGCCAGCAAGACAATTCATGAATAGAAAAAAGCAACTCAGAAATACAAAACAATTCTCATGACGGCAATTACCTTTTTTTGTCGATTAAGGAAAATAACATAAAATCGTGGACTAACATGTACTTCAGGGTGGTCTCTTCCGGGTTTATGCCTGTCAGGTCACAGTCAGGGTAAAGGAAACACACACATAGCTATTACATGTCATCACAGACGAGCATCATGGCAACTGTCAAGAAAAGAAAAGTGGATGCGGAATGTCAGGCTTTCCAAGAGAAATGGACAAACATTTTTTTTTTAAACTAAAGGACAAGCCAGTGTGTCTGGTGAGGAAGCGAACCCCAGTGAAGTCCAATATGGACCATCATTACAGCTGGAAATTGGCTGCTGAACTGGATGAACTGACTCAATGCACTTGGATGAAGTCAATGGTCCTCGGCGAAGTTAGGTGGGAGGCTGCATTTGAAAACCAATTGTATCACAGTGATGCTGTCCCATTTCAAAGGCTCCTTCAAATGTGTCTGACAAATATTTCTGGTGACAAACCATTTTTCAAAGAGGTAATGCCACTGGCAAGTTACAAAACGTTCCAGTTCTTGTGTATTATGCTTCAACTCAGCCAAATTGTAAACAATACACATTTAAAAAAATCAAGGAGCATTAAAACTTTCTCTTGGAACCCAACTACAGCTCTGTTGCTAATGAACAGTAGTAAGGATGGGACAATGCTGTTGTTGATGATAATAACTGAGTCCATCTGTAGATCAGACTGTCTCTATTCGCCTTGGCCTTCACAGTCTACCTGGCCCACGAAAACTGCATCCTTTGAGGGCCAGGTCAATTGCGTTGGTGTGGTGATCGAGCTAATAGCTAAGAAATATCGCCCAACTAGTCAGTGTTGTTAGTTGGATCACTGCTGAGTTTGATAGAAGACAGAATTGCTGTCTTAGCCATGCGTAGTACTACTATTTTAGTTCTTTTAGTTTACACCAGCTGTGAGTGGTATCACCATCATTACTATCTGACATCGCACACTGTGCCAAAGAGGTTCTCCACTTTCTGGTTTTATTTGGTGTTGCGAACTTCCGGTACTACTGGCTCTCCGTACATTGTTTGACTTATAAATCGTGTGCGGCTGCATGCCACGAGTTCTTACTACCTGCCGCTCACGATCACTGGAGTTGTAGTGAGAGGGGAAATTAGAGAATGATGAATGGTAATTGTAAGTGTTTTATTATTGTTGAGCCTTTGGCCAGGAACAATATTACCAGTTCCCTGCTCTGCCCTCATGGAACGCTTATAGGGCCACTTTGAGTTTACGTGAAGTTTTTGGTGTATTGCCCCATCAGGTCTGTTGTAGAGAAAACAAACAGTCAGAGCTGGTTTTTGTGTGTTGATCACCAGGCATTTCATGCTCCATTTTGATTTAATTAGGATCCAATGGCTTTTTTTCTGCAGTACTAAACCAAATGGGCTGGAGAGCGGTCTGAGCCAACATATATATCTTCTCCAGAGGGTAATGGTGTGTGTTCTGGAGAGGTTACATTTATGTGAAGTGCAGTGTATGATCATCTGAAGGGAAATCCTTGTCATTACCTTTTGGTTGTCTTGACCAGGGATTTCAGTAGTTTTTGGGGCAGTTCCAAAATATAGTTGTGAGTTAATTAAATGATTCAAATGAAACCAGCATGCACCTATTTACTTTGTGTCAACAAAAATAATTTTATTCTTCTAGTAAAAGTATAACAGACAGACCCAAAACCAACAACCCGATTCACCTTAGGCCCCCACATTATGGGCTTGTTTACGTTTAGTTTGTTCCATTGTTTCATCACTGCACCACTTGCTTTGCTGTGGTGTCTTGGTTAAAGCAGTGTGATGATGATGATGGTGAGGATGATGATGATGATGATAATTATGGTTCTGCCCTGCTCTAACTGGAGGAAGGGTATGCTTGCCTTCTCCTCCCTAAGCCCCCCAGAGACAGTGTGTACTGTAGCATGGCGTGGGAGGCTTGCTCAAGAAGAGAGGGGGGGGGGGTGACTTTAGAAAAACAAAATCCCCCTCAAAGGTCACTCTGAATCATATGTGTGAATTCAGACATACACTCTTCTCACGCATCAAGTTAGAGAAAAGTGCACGCTTTGGTCAGTGTACTATACTTACTGTAATATCGCTGTGCACGTGAGTTTACACACAAACACAAGACCCAGTAACTAATTTGGGGGCTTTACCTGTGTTGTCGCTGTGGTTTGTTTGCGGTGCGCTAAGGGTTAAGGAGTGCAAAGAGTCTTTTCAGTTACTAGCGTGACTAATAGAAAGGAGTTTCATTCTGTATCTGCTACAATGAAACCTTGCACTTTAACGTATTGTTGCTGGCTCAGCAGGATCAGTCCCGCGCATTTAACCCCTTCACCTCCCGTCCAGCTCAGCTCCCCTCTCACCCAAAATTCTAAACTCACTCCTGCTCTTTTCCTTCTTCTCCTCAACATTCGCTCCTTCCATACACCACAGGAAAGATGTAGTGGGTTACCCCCCCTCATTATCAACGTAGAGGGAAGGGCAACATACACACACACACACATGCAGACACACAATCACACACGCACAAAGTTTACATCAAGGCAAAAGTATTGGTAAAGATTAGTCTTGCAGTTCCAGCAAGTAACCTGTGCACTGAACACAGTTTATTCGGTTTAGTTTTTCCAGAAAGCATCAACATTTAGTAATTATTAAATACATTATTGTATTATTAATACATATTGATTATTTTTTGTTGTGATTTTGTTGAGTTTGGAGCTCTGTATGAAGTACAGGAGTTTTAACAGCACACAAGACACAAAGAGGTTCACTGTCCCTTTTACAAGATTTGGGAGAGACAATAAGTCAGTGTCTGCCATCGTATATGCATGTGCCCACATGCCTGTGTGTGTGTGCGTGTGTGCAACCATTGCTGTGCAAATGCGCCTGCGAGACAGCAGTCTATTTACGAGGCGCTGCAGCTGGTGTCTAGCGTCTGGACCCTGTCACGATCCCTGACACTGTCACTGGCTAACAAGTAGGACTCATTGTGCCAGGCGAGCACTCTCTCGCTGCTTTCTCCCCACCCCTTTCTCCCCCCCTCTTTTCCTCCCCCTTCTCTTCCCTGCACTTGTTTTTTTTTCTCTCTCCACTGTACACCCTTGCTCACATATATGAATGCAATAGCTGCTTAGTTTTGCTTTTCAAATTCTTGTCCAATAATAGTTTTCTTTTTTTCATTTTTTGGACCGTGATCGGTTAGATCATAAACCTGACGACTTAAAATCGTATGATTAAAACTTTAACCTCTCTTACAAGACAGACTGCAGGACATTGTCCCAAGAGCTTATAGGTCTTTAAATTTTAATACAAATTCTTATAAACCTAGCAAAATCTTGTATTCTTACAAGATTTTATTCAAATTGGCAAAGTTTGAACAAAACATCAAAGCCACATTTCATAATTATTTCACCACCCTTCCTCCGTGGTTTGAAGATCATTCAGGACTTAGCGGGTGTTCAGACTGAAAAACAGCCCTGCATTAAATCAACACAGGCTAACACAGTGCCTTGCCAGAAGACGTCACATTGTGTTGTGGCAAAAGTTGAGGCGGGCTCAGCTTTTTTTTTGCTTGATGCCTCTGAATTTGCCAGACTGGATTCAAATGAATGAGCAGCCTGTATTTTTCATGCAGAGCTAGTGTCAATCTAAACGTGGCCACAGAACCAGGCTTCATTAAACTTGGCGATTATTACTCCCCCCTGTTTCTTGGTCTGCTCTTAATCCTATTGAAGTTGTGATTGTACTTAGTCCTGGTGCGATCCAGATTCTTGTCAAACTATTCCCCTCTTCTCTTTGCCACTCTTCACTCTACTCCC